CTTGGACAAGTCCTTCAACAGTTCCTTCAGTCCTTCAAGCTGTCTAAAATTCCTGAAACATTCCTGCACCTTCAGGACCTTGGACAGGTCCTTCAACTGATCCTTCAGTCCTTCCCACTGTCTAAAGTCCTGAAACTTACCAGCACATTTAGGACCTTGGAGAGTTCCTTCAGTCCTTCAAACTGTCAAAAGTACTGAAACATTCCAACACCTTTGACAGGTGCTTTAACAGCTCCTTCCGTCCTTCACACTGTCAAAAGTCCAGAAACATTCCAGCACCTTCAGGACCTTGGAGAGTTCTTTCTGTCCTTCCCACTGTCTAAAGTCCTGAAACATTCCAGCACTTTCAGTACCTTGGACAAGTCCTTCAACAGTTCCTTCAGTGCTTCACACTGTCAAAAGTCCTGAAACATTCCAGCTCCTTCAGGACCTTTGAGAGTTCTTTCTGTCCTTCCCACTGTCTAAAGTCCTGAAACATTCCAGCACTTTCAGTACCTTGGACAGTTCCTTCACTCCTTCACACTATCTGAAGTCCTGCATTATTCCAGCACTTTCAGTACCTTGGACAGGTTCTTCAACACTTCCTTCAGTCCTTCACACTGCCAAAATTCCTGAAACATTCCAGCACCTTCAGGACCTTGGAGAGTTCCTATGGCCCTTCACACTGACAAAAGTCCTGAAACATTCAAGGACCTTCAGGACCTTGGAGAGTTCCTTCAATCCTTCACACTTTCTAAAGGCCTGAAACTTTCCAGTACTTTCAGTACCTTGGACAGTTCATTCACTCCTTCACACTATCTGAAGTCCTGAAACATTCCAGCACTTCCAGTACCTTGGACAGGTCCTTCAAGAGTTCCTTCAGTCCTTCACTCTGTCTAAAGTCCTGAAACATTCCAGCACCTTCAGCATCTTGGACAGGTCCTTCAACAGTTCCTTCAATCCTTCTCACTGTCTTAAGTCCTGAAACATTCCAGCACCATCAGGACCTTGGAGAGTTCCTTCAATCCTTCCCAATGTCTAAAGTCCTGAAAGATTTCGGCACTTTCAGTACCTTGGACAGTTCCTTCACTCCTTCGCACTATCTAAAGTCCTGAAACATTCCAGAACTTTCAGCACCTTGGACAGGTCCTTAAACAGTTCCTTCAGTCCTTCACACTGTCTAAAATCCTGAAACATTCCAGCACCTTCAGGACCTTTGAGAGTTCCTTCTATCCTTCACTCTGTCTAAAGTCCTGAAACATTCCAGCACTTTTAGGACCTTGGGCAGTTCCTTCAACCCTTCACACTGTCTAAATCAGTGATTCCCAACCAGGGGTATGCAGGCATATTACAGGGGCTACATGGAAAAATTTTACTTATTCACTTTCAAGGCAATATTTTTATCTTTGTTTAATTTGAGTGGAAAGAAATAAAATACCCGAGAATTAAAGGTTATAGGGTTTAAATAAATCATTTTCATTTAACAACAATTTATAGTACATTATAGTTTTGCAGAATCGTCATTACATTTCACTGAAGGGGTACTAGTGGTACGACAATAAGACTCAGGGGGTACACAAGTCTAAACATGTTGGGAACCACTGGTCTAAACTACTGCTTTTCCATTTATAATGGGTTTTACTGTAAATATAAAACAATCTTTATTCTGCCTAAAAGAACTTTGAATCAGACTTAACATATCGTCAAATAACAAAACCTGAGCTATTTGTCTTTAGATAACTTGAGCAAAATCTCAAAAACTACATTCCACTGTACTAAATAAGTAGTTCTGCTGGATTACATTTGCAAAATGTTTTTAAGATGCAATATTTCTGGTTCAGATTCATCGGTTTGTACAGTCTGGTATTAAAACCTTTTATTCTTAGATTTGTGTGCGGTTACTGAGTCAGTGAAAATGAATGCAGCAGTCGATGCACCTACAGTCGTCCCAGCTGTGTGATCATTCCATTGATTCGGAACAACTCCACTTTTCAGCTCTTCAAGCATATAAATGACTGTTTTTCCACCTAGCTGCTGCATTTACACACAGTTACAGCAGGTGAGCAGCTGGAGTGACCGTTTCAAGAAAATGTTCCAAAACCCACAAAAAAAGCCTCTGAGCTGCAAAACCCGTTTCGAGTCTTTACTTGCGGCATTTTTTAAACCAATTTCTCTGCCTGTTCAAGTGGTTTCATGCTGGTTCTCTGTGTCCTCCAGACCTGATCCACTGCACCAATGAGCTGAACGTCAGCATTCCCCATCTGGCAGACACGCTGCTGGAGCGCACGGCGAGCAACAGCTGGATTGTGGTTTTCAAAGCGCTCATCACCACACACCACCTCATGATGTACGGCAATGAGGTAAGCGAGGTGCATTGAAGCACAAATGCCCATGGCATAAAAGGGTTATTTTAAAAATTWAATTAAAAAAGGAAAGTGGCTTGTGTCGACAAAGAAAATGGTTGAAGAATGGTTCAAGAAAAAAATGTGTTTTTTTGTCTCAACAAAACGACATTATTGCTTACACAAGTTAAACGAAGAGTTTAGATATTTTGAAAAGGAGTTCTGTGGAAAAAGCTGTGAACAATTAATATCTTACCTGTTGTAAGTGGCTCTTAGTTTGTAGGAATAAAGATTGTTCATGATTTGATTTATAAACTAATAAGTATTGATATTTAAACTTAAACAGGTAGGATAAAACTGTGTAGCTTCATTTGCATGGGGGTTACGTTCTTGTGGAAAAACGGGAATATTGGGTGCAACAAGAGCTAAACAGTTAGCAGTTAGCACCGTGCTGTAAAAAGGTAGAAATGTGGTGATCTGGGCGGAGCGTGGGCACAGGGCATGCTTTCTGTACTGTAATTTATTATATGGAACTGAATTTTTGTCAATGTTTATGCTACAAAATTATTAAATAAAATTTTAATAATTAAGCTTGAAAACTCAAGAAAAATTTTTCCCTACTGTACTGCATGTCTGGTTTCTGCAGTAATATGGGGATTACTGCATACTACTAGTATTTAGGTTCTGTGAAAAAAATCAGTGACAGGCCGAGTCTGCAAACTGTGCAATGTTTTGTTGTAATTGTACTTAACTTTTACAGAGAACTCAACTTCGAAAAATGTGAAATATTTTCTGAAATAAGAAAAATTTAAAACAGTATTTTTGATAAATCTGAAAATCAAAGGAACTATTGAGTAAATTAGGTGTTTATAGATTCATTGTCGAAGTTGATGTCATTTTTATGCATATCAGTTTTGTGTGTTAGTGAAAGGATCAGCTTCATAAAGAGAAAAAACATTAAACAAAAGTACATTACTTGTATAAATCGTCAGTCTTTGCACAGAGACATAAAAGGGAGGCACTGAATGTATTTTTTCAGTTAGTGAGTGGAGTTATTGACCTCTTTAAAGAAGTCTGACATATCGCTCTCCAGGTAGCAGCAGTATCTCTCCAACGCTCTCACAGTGGGACTCTTTGAAGCTGTGCCTTTCCACGTGTCCGACACGAACTGATGAAGTATCCCGCTGACATTTCAATGACCGGCGTGACAAATCGCCTCGCTCCGCTGCTCGCCGTACAAGATCAACGAGCAAAACATCAAATATGTTAAATGACGAGCAGCTCAGATATCAAGAGAGAGAGAGAGAGAGAGAGAGAGAGAGAGAGCAAGCTTTCGACATTACTGAGGGGATGATCTCTCTCAAAACACAAATGCTTTTAAGTTTTTTTAAGGGTTGCTGAAACTGGATGAACATCGCTGCATCCCCCAATTAAGACGAGAGAAAAAAATCTTTCAGCAGCTTAGAAAATAAAAAAAAAACACGAGCACAGCCGCTAGTTTTAAAAACATTTTTATCTAATGCAAACCAGCTGATTATTATGTGCTGTATGAGTAAGACTTTAAAGATGTTGCAGAGATAACCAGTAACAGCAGCAAACCTTCATTCTCTCCATGATTTTTAMTAGCAGCATATTTATTATTCATTTGACACAGAGTCAATCCAGGAAACTGTTAATGAGGTGCAAGGTGACTTGTTCAGCGTGAAACAGGCTTTAGAGGATAATTCCACCTAGACCGTTTCACATACAAAAGAACATAAATTTGGGTTTTATATATGAAAGTACAATCTTGTCATTTTTTATAGCTGGAGAAACATGTCAGCTCAGATCTGCCTCCATAGTGAGCTCATATGAAACACAAAGAAAAGTTTTAGTCCTTTAGTTCTGGGTGAGTTAGTTGATAGGGATTTTTTTTTCCAGAATGATGAGCGAGAAGTGTCCACATAATTTATTTATAGGCTGTGTAAAATTAAATGACACACATCCTCTGAAGTTGTGAAAAGTGCACTATACATAAAAAACACACTTCTCGTGCAACATAATGTGGATGTAACTTGATGTTGTCAGGTAGGGAGGAGATAAATTGCTAACTTTGTCCTCTGTTTTCTTTTTTTGTTCTTTTCCCATCAGAGATTGATGCAGTACCTCGCCTCCAGAAACACGCTTTTCAACCTCAACAACTTTCTAGATAAGGCTGCACTACAAGGTGATTTAATGCCATTTGACTGTTTGTGGACTCAGCAGGGCTGCACGTCTAACAAAATGACTTTCTGTCGGCCTCTCCTTGGCTCTGTAACACCATCAATAAGGCTGTATTCAGAGCTGGTTTCAAAAGGTTTGGGATTGAAAAGGAGCTCTTTGTTTGCTACAAGAAGCTGCTGAATGTTGCTGAAAATTGAAACAATTCAAAGAAAGAAAAATAAAAATGCAACCGAGCAAGAGCTGGCTTGATGCATTACCTTTAGAAGGCTTTGGTTCTAAAAACATGACAAAGATTACAGTTGGGATAAAATGCCAAGATAATTGGTCTTTTAACARCATCATCCTGTTTGTGCCCTCCAGGATATAACATGTCAACCTTCATCAGACGCTACAGCCGATACCTGAATGAAAAAGCCATGTCCTTTAGATTAGCAGCAGTGGACTTCACCAAGATGAAGAGAGGGTAACACTTTGATATTCTTTCACTTCTTTCTCAACATTAAAAATATATATTTTTGAGAGTTCTTTGTGTCTCATCTGTTTTAGGGCTGATGGCGTGATGCGCACCATGAACACAGAGAAGCTGATCAAAACTCTGCCCATCATTCAGAACCAGCTCGACGCACTGCTTGATTTTCAGGTACAGGAGCAAATCTCCTTGTTTAAGATGCTGCAGTGAAACACTGCGATGTTCTGATCCTGTCTCTTGTTCCCTTCGTGCTCTTTCAGCCGAACTCCAACGAGCTGACCAACGGGGTGATAAACACGGCGTTCATGCTGCTGTTTAAAGACTCCATACGGTTGTTTGCTGCTTACAACGAAGGCGTCATCAACATGTTGGGTAAATTGTTCAATCCACGCTTTATTTGTGGTGATTTTCCTCCAATGTTTAAATCCCAACAACGTAACTCAAATCTTCATTATGGAGCTCAATTGGAGCAAAAAAATTTTTAACTGAAAGAAAAAAATGTGAAATTGATTTTAAAATAGAGTTCAAACAAAAGAAATCATTAAACACTAATTGTCAAATTCTAGTTTTTTTTCTTTAAGCAGTGGTGGGCAGCGCTRATCCAAAAATTAGCTCCGCAATTTCTAAAGCGCTTATGAATATAATTAGGTCCGCAACTTCAAAAACGCTTATGCCATAGAAAAACTAGCGGAAGCTAATTTTAAAGCACAAGTTCAATTTGACACTTACTAGCTCGCAACAATTCATGTACAATATATGCACAACACTGCCAACAAGTGGTGTGTGAACTCTTGTACAAACACCGATTGCTGGGATGTGATTTCCTGAAACAGAACTTTGGCTCCTGGTGTAAAAATTAAAAAGTTGTTGAGGATTGCTAGTTCGGCTGATTCTTTGTCTTTTTCTTTTGTTTGTTGTAGATTTTTCATTAAAGAAGCATCAGTAAAGTAATTTTAAAACCGTTTATTGGAAAACTGAAGCGATGCATTCTGGGTACATGACGGATTTGATTTGTGACAGGAAACGAAAGCATGGAGTACAGGAAACTATCTGCAAACTTCAAAATAAGAGCTTGGATTTTAAAGTTTTCCCTGTTGTTGCTCCAGTTGACCACTAGATGTCTGTCTAACCCCATTGGCCGATTGCTTCAACCAATTATGTCAAGTATTTAGCTCCAGCGTTTAAAGTTTTTTTTTTAAAAAAAAGAGCTCCGATTGTAAAGTAAAATAAATCAATACATACAAAATTTTAGTATGGATTACAAACGTTTACTGTTTTAGCTGGGAATGGGAGCTCTAAACATCGCCTTCCTGCTACGTAAGACCGCTAAGGCGCAAATGAAATATTTAGGTCCGCAATTAGCGGATTTGCGCTTTAGCGGAATGGTGCCCACCACTGAATTTCAGTGTTAGATGTTTTTTCAGTTCCAAAATTCGGGCCCTGTTTTGGCGTAGGGGCGTGGCCTCGGATGACAATGAGTGTGGAATCGTGACTACCAGCTCAACACACTTGTTCAATTCAGTTTCAAGTCAATTTATCTAGAAAGCACCAAGTCACGACAAACGTCTCAGGCCGCTGCAGAAAGAAACAATCAACCTAAGGAAGCGAGCAGATTGTGTTGAATCTTCAGCTATTGCATTCAGAATCCATGGAAATGTCTTTAAAATATGATGGATATTCTATGTTTTTCAGTTTAAACTTTTATTTTCTTTTTCAAAAAAGAAATTGAACAAAATTAATGACTCCAATTTAGCTCCATATTTTTAGCCACTGGTCAAAAAGAAAGTTCATTTTTTAATCCAGTTTTAACGTCAWCTAAATGTATTTACTGCACTAGTGATTTTCTTTAGCTGATGAGTGTTTATTTATTTTTGCCACACAGAGAAATACTTTGACATGAAGAAGAATCAGTGCAAAGAAGCACTGGAGATCTACAAGAACTTCCTCCACAGGATGACAAAACTGTCCGAGTTTCTGAAAGTGGCAGAGGTATTGTTTGTCCGTCCTTCTCCGTCCTCTTGTGGGTACGACAAAATAAATCTGTCTGCAGCGAATCTCAGCGGCCGCCTTTTKTTTGGTTCTGTATAAATAAAAATGTAGCACACTTGTTTCATTTTCTCCTGTCCCTCAGAATCATTTAATGTGCAGCTAAAAGCCACCTCACCCTGCTGAGATTCGCTCCAGACCTCTGTTACCCTGCGGTTCTGATTTACGGTCAATCTTTTCCAACCCAAACTGACCGCAGATCAGTGACCAAGGGCTTCTTCGATTTAATCCTTAAATCTCTTTCTGCATCTAGATATTCTCCTGTTTCTGACCCTCTCTTGCCCTGAACTGGGGATTGGGTTACTCCAAGCCTGTCATTAATGGTTGAGTTTTAGTCTGTCAGAGCCAGTCGTGTACAGCTTCCAGCTGAGGGACCCCTCGCGTGCTGCCTGTTCACATGCCTGCACTGCATGCCCAAGCAAGCTCTTCTCTATCACTATCTCTGTCCCCTGTTCTACCTCTTCAATTTCTTCCCCTTTTTCATTAAAAAAAGATATATCTTATGTACATAACGGCTGTTATCAAGTGGAGCTCTTGCTAGGCTTCAAAGTGAATAAAAATAGTTTTATCCTCTTTAGACTGCATAGCCTTTTTTCCCCATGCTCCATCTTCAAAGGCTTTCTCACTGCTTGGTTTCGTTCCCATTTGGAAGAAGGTTTGGGGTGCAGCCGCTTGATCCAAAAAAAAAAAGAAGGAAAGAAAAGAAAGAAAAAGCAGACTAACGTTGACTTTAAGGACCCATTCATTTTACCTGTCTAACAAAATGTGTTTGTCTGTTTTGTGTGTCATCTGTGTTCCCCCTCCCCTCTCCTTCTGTTCGAAGTCAACATTAGTTGAGTGTCTTCCTTTTGGATGTTTTTCTTCCTCGTAGTCACGTGACCTGTTGTCCTCCCTCTCTGCCCTGCCTGTTCAATCAGTCGATGCGCTCAGCATTCATTTCCAACCAGTCTCCAGATTTCAATGTGTGTGTGTTCATATACTCTGTATATATAGCTGTTTGTATGTGTGTGTGAGTGCATGTGCCCTCCTCCTCTGTTGTCTTTTGTTTGTTTTCCTTTTTTTTCCAGCCACTGCATGAAGTAATGAATGCTTGGGTTTTGATTCTTCTTTCTCCCTCCTCCTCCTCCTTCACTTGCCTCCTCCTTTTCCCCTCCCCAACTGTAGTCTGTTTTGGTTAATTTCTTGTTTTATTACTACATTTGGTTTATTTTCATTTTGCCTCCCTCCTCCCTTCCCTACCCTTCCCTTTTTTTGTGACACAGCGAGTTGGGATAGATCAGGGCGACAGCCCCGATCTCACACAGGTCAGTCCACATCTCATCTCAATCAGTCAATCAACCAGTCAACCAGTTTAGAAACTCGTTAAGTTAGTCCCATGATGCTTCATTCTTGATGCTCCCGTTCCCTACTCACCCTACAGACCTGCCCACACTGCAGCTGCCCCGTCTTCTTCCTCTCTTCTTCACTCTCCTTATCTCCCTTTTGCTTTGCCTCTTTTTTCTGTTGGAACAGAGTCTAGAATAGAGAGGAAACCATAAATGAAGACCTGCAGATAGCTCTGAAGCAGCGTACCTTTCACACAATTATCAGAATTTAAGGAATTTCATGTTTTTTTCCTTATTTGAATCATTGCAGAACAAATTTTACTCAAAGGTAAGAGTTTTAAAGAATAATTTAACCAGCTGGGTAACAAAACTTTTATTTAGCTTTATTTTATTATTATGATTTTATTTTTCAAAAAAATTATTTTAGCTTTGTCTGAATTTTTCCAACAGTCTTTCTGGCATTTTTTCAATGTAAACAATAAGGCCCTTCTGTTTACCCAAAGACAGCTCAACTTTATAAGATAGGTGACTTCCGAGTCTAAGCAGATCATTTTTCTGAAAGGTTTATGTCCCTTTTCACTAGCTGTGGGGAGAGCAGCGAATGGTTTTTATTAAACAGGTTTCTGCAAATATGACTTGGATAGGTGTACATAATGCCATCATAAGTGCTGCATCTTAAAGCATTTAATGCAACACATCCTTTTCAGTGCATTCATAATTGGTTGGTTATAATATGTYGCAAATTCAAATAATAAACTGAAAAGGGTTGTTTTAAAAAAAACGCAACATTTGTAGTGCTTATGAAGACCTTATATGCCCTTATTCAACATAGTGAGCCATGCCTTTACCGGGCTGTAGATTTGTCTGTTTTATTTTAAAACTTTTAGCATATTCTAGATTTCTCTGGAGAAGGATATGCAGAATTCGCATTTTATTCTCTTCCCCCCTCCCCCCTTAAAATAGGTATATGAGACAACTTTTCTTTGCTTGATGTGTTTTGGACTGTGCTTTTATGATGCTGAAATGTAAAAGTCTTGGTGAGAACCGTGGTATCACATGTGGTCCAAATGAACCTATTCATTCGTTTCAGTTCTCCAAAGAAGAATGCTGGCCAGCTGCTCAATGTGCATACCTGGTTTTTCATCATGTTTTTACATTTGACTGAGTTAACTCCTTTGGTTTCCAGTCAGATGCTTTGCAGGCATTATTTAAACCGATTGATTTAAAATCTGCATTTCTAATCGATAACATGTCAATCTGTTTTATGAGTTAAAGTGGAATCCATGAGTTAACTCTTTTGGATGGTGATTTTCTTTACGTGTGTAAGTGTGTGTGCTTATGAGAGCATCTGTGGACTGCTGGCCTCTGCATGGGCTCATTAGATGGTTTTTGTTGTTGTTTCTACTCTGGAGCCCCTAAGCGATGATGCTCTGCTCCGTCCTGGTCTGTCAGTCATGCTGTGGACTCGCTTGCATGATCCAAGGCCAATGCTTGCATGCTGGTTAACCAAACCTGATGAAACCAAATGCAAAATCAGAACAAACGAGCTGTCGTAGAGTAGATAGTCAAATCTGATGTCTTGATGAGGGTGATGTCTTACTTTTGCTGCTGCTTTTTGTGTGTGTGTGTGGGTGTGTGAGAGAGAGATAAAATGAGATGTGAGTACAGAAGGGTGGAAAAGAGTTTTTAGTCCCACTTTGCCTACTTGGATGCACTTTTAATATTTTCATATCACCTCCCACACCCTTACCCCTCTCAGGCACCCAACACCCTCCTGGAGGCTCTGGAGCAGCATCTAGCTTCTCTGGAGGGCAGGAAGCTCAAGGATCTGTCTACTGCCAGCAGGTATGACCAAATGATGAAGAAACAACTCAAATCAGCTGCACCAGCCTCCTAATATCACTGTTGTTTTCATCGACAATCGAGCAATTTCCAGTCAAATTTTGCTGCGGTGCTAAATTAGTGTTAATACACCTAACAATAATGCTGTTACCCGGATAAAGGATTACAACAAGAATACAAAAACTTGATTGTTATTCACACCAAACAGTAGTGTGCACAGCACAGCTAATCTGCTAAACAGATATAAAATTAGTGGAAGCTAATGCTAATGCTAAATCAGTTAGTTTACGATGTCTTCGTCTCCTTCCAGTTGAAGACGGGTAGGACTGATGCAAACGTTTTTATGATTAAATAGAAAATTAACTTGTCTTCTCATCACTTCCTCTTCTAAACGTCTTGAAATAGGCCTCTGTCTCTTTAAGAACCTCCTTCTGCTCATGTCCTGTCCCGTTGGGGGGGTGGGGGGGGGGGTGGGGGGGGTGTTTCTCGTGCGCTATGATGCAGTTTACTTGGCATCTGAAAATACATTTCCTCAAAGGTTTTTTTTTTATCTGAAAAGAGCTTCACTGAGAGAACTAATGTTGAGAGCTCAGCAGACAGTTTAAGTTTCACTTTCACTTTCACCGGAGAGCCTGCAGGAGTCATGGGCGGGGTGTGTGTGTGTGTTGGGGGAGGTCTGCCATGAGGAAATTCAGCTTAAAGACACGTCCCAGGGGCGTTTCTGGTCCTCACCTGTCGTTTTGCTCCTCAGCATGGTTTCCTAAAAACGCTGCAGGATTTCTCAAACATGCATGAATGAGTCAAAGCAAGGCTTTGGCCATGTTTTTTATGAGAGTATAACATTATAACATGATATAAAACTCAAAAAAGTTGATTTTACATGATATTGCCCCTTTAAATGTTATTTTATTTCATGCTGATGCTCTTAGTTTGAAGTTTAGCTGCTAAAGATGCTACACAGCCCGACACGTCCAGCACTGCTTGTAAGAGAGGATAGTTTTTCTTTAATTCAAGTTAAATAGCATAAAAATAGAAGTTTCACATTTGCACTTATTTAGCACAAGCTCATTGGTTCGCTCACGGTTTTCAAAGTTAGTGTCAGGTTTAGACATGGTACATCGACCCAGGGCACAGGCAGAGTTTGGGTGAAACAAAAAGATCTTTAATAAAGCAAAAAGCTGACAGGGAGGGCAGCTGAAAAACTCACAAACATGGCGTGGTATTCATTCTAAAGATTTTAAACTTTTCAGAGCTACAAATGTAAATGATTCCATGCAGATGTGTGCTAATGGTGTATTCTTTATTAGTATAATATACACACTCATATCTATATCAGTAATCTAAACTTAGGTCCATAAATATTTGGACACTGACACAAATTTTGTCTTTTTACCTGTTAACTGAAATATATTCAAGTTATATATAATGTACATGGACATAAAGTCCAGACATTCAGCTTTCATTTGAGGGTATCCACATTAAAATTGGATGAAGGGTTTATGAGTTTCAGCTCCAGAACATGTGCCACCCTGTTTTTAAAGGGACCAAAAGTAAATGGACAATTGACTCCAAGGCTATTTCATGGACAGGTGTGGACAGTCTCTTTGTTATGTCATTCTCAATTAAGCAGATAAAAGGCCTGGAGTTGATTCGAGGGTTGGTGCTTGCATTTGGAAGGTTTTGCTGTGAAGTAAACATGCGGTCAAGGGAGCTCTCCATGTTTGTGAAACAAGCCATCCTTAAGCTGCATAAACAGAAAAAATCCATCCGAGAAGTTGCTACAATATTAGGAGTGGCAAAATCTACAATTTGGTACATCCTGAGAAAGAAAGAAAGCACTGGTGAACTCGTCAATGCAAAAAGACCTTGGTGTCCACAGAAGACAACAGTGGTGGATGATGGCAGAATAATCTCCATGGTGAAGAGAAAGCCCTTCACAACAGCCAACCAAGTGAACAACACTCTCCAGGAGGTAGAAGTATCAATATCCAAATCTACCATAAAGAGAAGACTACATGAAAGTAAATACAGAGGGTTCACTGCACACTGCAAGACACTCATAAGCCTCAAGAATAAAAAGGCTAGACTGGACTTTGCTAAAAAAAAACATCTAAAAAAGCAGCAGAGTTCTGGACATTCTTTGGACAGATGAAACCAAGATCAACCTGTACCAGAATGATGGAAAGAGAAAAGTCTGGTGAAGGCGTGGTACAGCTCATGATCCAAAGCACCACATCATCTGTAAAACACAGCAGAGCAGTGTGATGCTTGGTCATGCATGGCTGCCAGTGGCACTGGGTCACTAGTGTTCATTGATGATGTGACACAGGAAAGAAGCAGCCCAATGAATTCTGAGGTATTCAGAGCCATACTGTGTGCTCAGATCCAGCCAAATGCAGCCAAACTGATTGGTCATCTTTTCATACTACGGATGGACAATGACCCAAAACATAAAGCCAAAGCAACCCAGGAGTTTATTAATGCAAAGAAGTGGAATATTCTTGAATGGCCAAAAAATGGCTAAAAAAGTTTAGATTACTGATACAGATATGCATGTGTATATTATACTAATAAAGAATACACCATTAGCACACAAACATTTGGGCTGGTTTTTTTTGTGGTTGGGTGGGTTTTACATTGAGTTTGGGCTGGAAACTGTCAGTTCAATCTGGTAACCCTGGCAGCAGGGCAGAGAACATACAGGGAAACACTGAGACACTAGAAAAACACAGATCATGACAGTTAGATAAAAAGCTAATCTGCTAAATGAAAAGCTACTTCCACTATTAGAAGATTAGCAGAACTGTGCTCACCACTGGCAGCAAAATAYAATGCACTCTATGATTTGGACCTAGGAGATATGATTCCAATGGTAAGCTAAATCTGACAGAAATGGTGCAAAAAGTTATTCTTTTCAGTTGTTTTTTTTTTCCTCAGAGGGGCACTATCAGTAGGTAGACCAAAAACTACCTCACTCAAACCTACAACCAGAAAGTGCAACTTATTCTAAACAACATGCCTCAACAGCAAACTTGTCTTTTCTTATAAACAAAAACACATATTCGATCAAAGGGTTGTGAATGAAGCCTCATAAAGTTGGTAATGATTGATGTGTTTAATGTTCATTAGTTGTTTACTGGCCGTTTGAAATAATCAGCATGATGCAGTGAAATAATTGCTGATGTCACTTTTCCCACTCTGGCAAATTTATTGACCTGTTCAATTGGCCGACCTCTAATCTGTCTTTTTTTTTTAATATCTTATACCAGCTGTTACTGGCAGAACTGTTTTAGAGGTAGAAACATATTGTAGTAAAATTGGCATTGACTGTTTGAATTAAAAAAAGACTTGCTCTAAATAACAGAAACGTGTGCCTCTGTCTCACTGTCAGATCCAGTACCTTGTCCAGTGCAGTGTCATCCCTCTCCAGTGGGGGGATCTCTCTCAGCCGTATGGATGACAAGACCGAGGACAACCGACTGCAGCAACACAAGGCATGGCATCTAGTTTACTTTGAATACTTTTGTGAGGAATATGAAAACTCACATTTTTTACGAGCTGGTTGATATAAAACAAATATATCTTCTGTCTGTGCTTTTTCACGCAGGAGGAGAGTCATAAAGTGATTGACATTCAGACGCCCACTGTCTCGCCCAGCACCCAGTCAGTGGGAAGTGCCAACAGTAGTGTAGGAGCCGCAGATCTCTTCTCCAACTTACCTAGCATACCCATCAGCAACCAGTGAGTACAAGTCAGATGATGTGAACACCATTGATGGGCAGCACTAACCCAAAAATTAGCTCTGCAATTTCTAAATTGCTTATGAAAATATTTAGGTCCGCAACTTCAATAACACTTATGTCATAGAAAAATTAGCRGAAGCTAATTTTAAACCTCAAGTCCAAYTTGACATTTACTAGCTGGCAACAAGTCATGTACAATACATGTACAACACTGCTAACTAGCGGTATATGAACCTTTGTACAGCTTGATCCTACAAGCACTGAATGCTGGGGATGTGATTTCCTGAAACAGACCTTTAGCTCCTAGTGAAAAAATTAAAAGGTTGTTGAGGAT